CAGGTACACTGTGTGTATATGGAGGTCAGAGCTTAACACTGCCATCCTCAATCACTCTCCACCTTATTTTTTGAGACACAGTTTCTAACACTGATCTGAGAATTCATTGATTTGGCTAGATTTGCTGGTGGATGAGCGCCAAAGATCTGCGTTGTCTCCACTGGAGAGCCCAGCTTTGATGTGGGTGCTGGAGATCTGTAATCAGGTCCTCATTTACTGATTAAGCCATCTCTCTAGTACCTTCACCTCCTGTTATTTGGACAGCAAATTGCCCAGAAAAGGAGGAAACAATCAGAAAAATGAATCAAACAGAGGTTGTTCAAGTCAACACTGGGGAACTGTGCTGGGCCTGAAACAAGGTAGTTAAGAGTTGACTGCACTCAGAAAGTCCTAGGTGTGAGTTTCAGTGACCAGGACTAGTGTGGTCTTAGGTCATGATCCCACTAATCCTGACACACCTGCCTCTTTCTCCCACTTCCTATCTTTGACAGCTGCTGTTTTCTCTAATGAGTTTTCATTCCCCTGGCCAACATATTAAAACTCTCTCCTCCTCCAATTCTTCAGTCTCTACTTTTTCTTTTTGTGTGTGTATGAGGGTGAGTGTGCATGTGTATGCATGAATATGGAGGCCAGAGGCAATGTCAAGTATCTTCTTCAATCTCAGTTGATCTCTACTTTATTTTTTAAGACAGGGTCTGAATTGAACCTAGAGCTTGCCTACTGGCTAGACTGCCTAGCTAGCTATTGTACAGGACTATCCTCTGAGACAGACAGATGCCATCTTCCTGAATTCAGCTGTGCTTGCCAGTTGCACTTGATGACTGTTGACCTTCCCTCATAGAAGGAGGAGTAGGGGGAAAGGCCTTCACCTGAGCATCTAGCTACTCCTTCCAACTTTTTGTGGGCAACTCTGCCATAGTTGGCCCTTGGCCTTGGGGAAAGGCTAGAATGTATACACTGGAGAAGACTATGGGAAAGGGCTGTTCTATCTATGGTGCTATGAGGAAGCCATCATCCATGCTGGGTGGGGCCTTTTCGGTGCAATCTTTGTGTGTGTGTGTGTGTGTGTGTGTGCGTGTATGTGTACCCACACTCTAATAAGTAACTCATTAATGCTCTGTATGTAAGCCCAGTAAACTCATTGGTTCGCCAGAGTGAATTGTGGTAGAATCATATCTGTTTGTCTACTGGACTGAGGGAGGAGGGGAGTGGACACTGCTTACATCTCCCCCAGGAAGGAGTTTTAGCAACAAGAGGAAATCCAAGGGATCTTCTTGTCTCTACACTACTGGGCTTATAGGTACACAAACAAGCTATGCCTACATTTTTCACATGGGTGCTGGGCATCTGAACTCAGGTTCTCATGGTTGCAAGACAAACACTTTGTTGACTGTGAGCCATCTCCTCAGCCCCTCGACTTAATTTTTCTGTGTAGCACTTACCACCATTTCATATATTCTTTTAGTTATTGCCTGTCTCCCTACTACAAATAAATCTCCAGAATGGCTTTTATCTAATTTACTTATTGAGGCCTAAAAGAATATGTCAAGTAAGTAGCCCTCAATAGCAACTTTATGCTGTACGAAAAAAAATCTGTATGTAAAAACGAAGGTAATAGTAGCTAGTGCTATTAATATACTTAAAAGAGCTCGCAACAGTGTCTGGGCACTGCACTGAATTACTGCTCACGTAGGATCTTTTTAGGTTGGCTGAGTCCACCGAGAAGGTGGAAGGTTCTCATTTTTTGGCAGACTTATAAAGTGGGTGAGCCCTTTTCCCCCTCTTTCACTCTCCTCCAGCACCCCAGGAATTGCTGGTTCCTTAACAACTCCAACTTGGTCTTCAGGACAGAAGGCCAATGGGAATATCAGGAGCAACCCAGCCTTCATTTGGCTGGAGAGCTTACTCCTCACTCTTTAGTACTGGGAAGGGATTTTCAAATCCAATAACCACCTCCCCAGGCTAGCTTATTCCATTGGCAAAATCAAACTACAGTAGCAATTAAAGATGAGGTTTCCTTTCTGCGCAGGCGCACTCGGCCGTAACCCCTTTCACTATCGCGATATACTAGCGGGCGCGACGCTGGCCCTTTAATAGTCCTTTCCCCGGGGCCTGCCCAGCGCATGCGCACTGCTGTTCTGCGCTTGTCATCATGGCGACGCGGGGCCATGTGCAAGACCCTAACGACCGGCGCCTCCGGCCCATTTACGGTGAGTGCCCGGAGCCAGCCTAGTGGCCAGCTTGACAAGCCGAGGTCTTCCCTGTCCGGAACGAAGGTCCAGGAGGGCCGCCGAGGGCGCACGCTGTGCGGGGCGGCGAGGGGGCGGGCCACGCGGGGACACTAGGCCGCAGTAGCGGCCTCGCGTAGGCGCCGGCCGGGCCTTCCATAGCGCTGAGGTGGTAGCTGCGCGGCTCGCGCAGCCTCGGGTCGGCAGAACTGTCAGGTCGGGTGCGACGGGTCCTTTTGTGGAGATCAGCCCCGCCACCAGGCTGCACTGTTCTGGGCGCTCCGAGGGACACCCGGGTCTTTCCTGCAAGTGAAAACCAGCTCGGGTTTGAGGGTGAGACCGTCTACCCGAGGGGAAATTCCCCAGTAATAATGGTTCTGCTCATGAGAATGGGGACTAAGGGGATGGTGACTGGATGAACTCTGGTGCACGTGGAGAAACTGAGGTCCAGAGAGGAAGGGGCTAACGCAAGGTTACCCGGCTCCAGGCCTCGGATCTCGGACTCCCAGCTCCGAGCTGCTCTATACAGAAACAGCTGCTCAGAGCACACGTGGGAGGCGGGGGGAGGGGGTCTCGAGCCCAGAATAGCCGGGAAGAGACTGTAATAGCCGGTGTTGGAGGGTAGACCCGGCTGCTGGATGGAGGGCTTCTTTCTGCACCTGGTCTCTGGTTTTTCTCTGTAGCTTGCCTTACGCGTGTTTAGTGGTGGATCGCTGTCCAGCTGTCTCAGACCCGCAGGTCTTAAGATAAACCTTGATGTCATCTTGCTACCCTGGTAGTGAGAAAAAAAATAAATCACAGAATTGCGTCTGAGAGAGACACTTTGCAGTAACTGAGCTGTCCTGTCATTGGAAATGGTTCCTTTTGCATTTTTTTCCCTCTTAGATGGTCTTGGTCTGCTTCAGGTAATGGTGCAGCAGCTTCAAGGTCAATGGCTTTTGCAAAAAGACCTCCTGTTTACAGTGTGGGTCTGCATTTTACTTTTTTTTTTTAAGTTTTTTTTTTTCCTTGGCAGGGGTGGGTGTTCTTGTCAAATTGGCACACATGGTCCTGATTTTTTTATTTTCCTTTTCTATTTATTTCTTTGTGTAACCTTTTGTGACAGGGTCTCACTAAGTAGCGCTGACTGGCCTGGACTGTAGAGCATATTGGGCTTGAACTTGCAGCTCTCTTTTACCTCTGCTTTCCAAGTGCTGGGATTACACATGGCCCCACACCTAGTGCCCATGTGCTTTTGATAAAGTTTAAAAAAATTTTTTTTATGTGTTTGGGTGTTTGCCTACATGTGTGTAAGTGCATCTTTGCATGCAGTGCCTGCAGAATCCAGAAGAGGGGTGAATCCCTGGGAACTGGAGTTACAGATGAGTATTATGTGAGTGCTGGGAATTGAACCAGGGTCCTCTGGAAGAACAACCAGTGCTCTTAACCGCTGAGCCATCTCTCCATGCCCTTGATAACATTTTAATATACTTGTTGAAAAAAATTTTTTTTGGTTTGTGTGTGTGTCTGTGTGTATGTGTGTAGCACACACATACCACTGTGTGCATGTGGAAGTTAGAGGAAACTTTTAGGAGGCAGTTCTCTCTATCAGGTAGGTTCCAGGGATTGAACTGGTTGTCAGGCTTGGCAAGCACCCTTACCTGCAGAACCATCTTGTGTGTGATTTTGTATGGTGCCATACCTTAAGATTACCTGTGTCTAGCAACACCAGCCCTGTGCTTTCATTTGATCTTCACACAGTGTTCAACCCCCCCCCCCCCTTTTTTCTTTTAAATACAGGGTAAACCAGGCTGGCCTTTATCATATAGGAATCTGCCTGCTTCTTCCTCCATGCTGGGACCTAAGGTGTACACCACCACACCTGGGCACCCCCTACCTTTTTTGTTTAAAACTGATGAGGTAACTGATATGTAATTTGTCTAAAACCACCCAGCTGGATTTGGGATTTGAACTCCAAACACATACTGTCTTAATTCACTGTGCTAGAAATTGCCTCACTTTGTTTCGTCTAAGGACACAGAGGTGTTGAGTTAGGAGAGACAGAGGACTCTGATTTCCATTTCCCCATTGCTGCATATTCTCCTGTTTCTGTGTAGATCAGGCTAGCCTCAAACTTGCAGCTATCCTTCTGCCTCTGGGTAATAGAATCTAAGAACTGAATTCAGGGTTCATGACTCATTCTTTATAGCTTTATACTGACAACCTCTTCAGACATTTTTTTTAAAATTATTTTTATCTTATGTGTATGCCTGTATTGCCTGCATGTAGGTAAGTGCACCTGTGTCGTGCAGTGCCCAAGAAGGACAGAATAGGCTGTCAGATCCTCTGGAACTGGAGTTATGGACAGTTGTTAGTTGCCATTTGGGTGCTGGGATTCGAACCCGGGTCTTCTGCAAGAACAGTGTTCTTAACCGCTGAGCCATCTCTCCAGTCCACAGACTTTTTTTTTTAAACTAAAAAGTCTCAATACTTTTAGAAATAATTTGATTCATAACATTGTTCTTAAAGACCAAGAAGAACAAAGAATGCTATTGGCTTTGTATTCATTTAGAATTAAGAGTATATAAAAAGTAACATTTTGCATTGCTAAACAACAGGCTATATTAATCAGAAGTGACAGTCATGTTCTCAAAGCTGAAGACTGAGTTATGTAGCTTTTGTTATAGCTACATGGGAAGAGGATTAGAAGAGGCCTTCTAAAGTGATTAATATAAGTGACAGGAATAAGAAAAGCAAGCTGGCCTTGACTATAGCACTTTCGACTTTTGAACTCCAGAGTTTTGTTGTTTAAATACGTTAGTTCTCCTAAATAACTGTTAATCCTTGAATTGAGGCATCCATTAGCCAACAAATGAACAAGCTCATCTAGGGTGGGGCTTGGCTTAGCAGTCAAAAGTTCAGTAAGTATGTGTACTGACTGCTTACTTGTGGGCTAGCTGTGCTATGTGGTGGGGAAGATCATTGTGCTTATAGTAGGAGACCAAAGGCCAGCAGGATTAGCCTGTTGTAAGAGTAAATTGTAGGGCTGGGGTTAAACAGTCTTCTTCCTGGGGAGCCCAGCCCTTTAAGTTCAGAAGCTCTGCCACCCGTGTACAGCAGCCATTGGTACTGCAAGGTTTTACAATTTTACAACAGTTGGAAACATTGCATTGGACTGAACTTCAGTTCTTCGTGCATATTGTTTCCTTGGGAAATTGTAGTGGGTTGAAATTCTGCTTGTGTCTATAGTTGGAATAACCTTTTTCTTTTTTATTTAATTTCAGCAGGGCTTCATTATATAGCCCAGACTGGCCTTGAACTCACTACATTGTTCAGGTTGGCCTGGAACTCAAGATCTTTTTGTCTTACTCTCCTGAGTTCTGGGATTATAGGTCTGTGCCACCATACCCTCCTGGCTTCTTGAAATTACTCTCTTTTGCTGTGTAGTTCACACCAGATTTGTTACTTATGTTTGAGTTGGTGAGCTCCAGTATTTCCTTCTGCCATCATTAACTTATAATGTTAGGGCTGGGCAAGATGGCTCAATGGGTAAAGGTACTTGTCTCCAAGCCTGATGATCTGGGTTTCTTCCTGGGGACCCACATGGTAGAAAGAAAGAAGTTGTTTTATGACTTCCACAGGCAGTAGATGTAATAAAAAATATTTAGGGGCTGGAGAGATGGTTCCATGGTTAAGAGCACATACTGCTTTTGCAGGCAACCTGAGGTTGATTCCTAGCACCCATATCAGGAATCTTACAACTGCTTGCAACTCCAGTTCCAGTGGATCCAAGACCCTCTTGCACTTATACACATGTATACACAGCACTCATACACATAAAAATAATAAGTTATTTTTCTAAAAAAGAAAGAAATGGCTGTGAGTGGTGGGATACACCTTTAATCCCAGCACTTGGGAGGCAGAGGCAGGTGGATCTCTGTGAGATGGAGACCAACCTGGTCTCTAGTTCTAGGCCAACTGTGGCTATAGGGAGACCCTGTCTCAAAAAAAAAAAAAAAAAAAAAAAAAAGGCCTTCTTTCGCTTGCCTTGAAAATATAACTATTAAAAAAAAAAACCATGTCTACCTGGGGAATGTAGCTCAGTGGTAGAGCTTTTGTGTAGGCCTTGAATTTGTTAGGGGGTGAAAAAGATGATGCCTTAGATAAATTTTTTTTTTTTTTTTTTTTTTTTTTTTTTTTTTTTTTTTTTTAGCAGGACTTCCTGCTTTCGGTCTCTACGGCCTGGAACTTGCTATGTAGACCGGGCTGGCCTCGAACTCAGAGATCCTCCTGCCTCTGCCTCCCGAGTGCTGGGACTAAAAGGGTAGGCTACGACACCTGGCTCTAAAAATATTTTTAAATTCAAAAGAAAAACTTACAAATATTTGAAGTTTACACAGGATACAGTTAAAAGCATGGAGCATAAAGAAACCTGTCAGCTAATCCAAATAAAGGATTTTTTTTTAAACCATGACATATCTTATTTTTATTGTTTTTTTTTTTTCTTCTTGAGATAGGGTGTGATGTTGCCCAGGCTAGCCTAGAATTTGCTATATAGCTGAGGATCACCTTGAACTTCTGAGCCTCCTGCCTCCACCTCCTGTGTGTTGGGATTATGGGCTCTGCCACCTCATCTAGTTTTATGGGGTTTGGGGGATTGAACTCAGGGTTTTGTGCATGCTAGGTGAGCGTTCTACCCAACCACATCTCCACCCCATACATTTTAAGCTATGACACATATAATCATTGCATTTGTGCTAAGGACTCGAAGGAAAAGTGCTGCTTGCCTGAGAATATGCAGTATGGGTATCTATCTGGGCTGTTGGGGCAGGTAATGAAAAAGTGCCCTCTTCAAGTTATGTTCTGCTTTTGACATGGAAGAAGAGTGAGGTGAAGAGATGGCCCACCTACAATCTAAAAAGAAGACTTGTGTGGTTGGGATGTAGAGATTCGAGTGGAAGTGAGATGAGACAGCAGCTGCAGCAGGGACTCAGCTGCGTAAG